GAAGAAGAAGAAGAAGAAGAAGAAGGAGAAGAAGAAGAAGAAGAAGAATTTGAGGTGGACGAGGAGGAGGAGGAGGAGGAGGAGGAGGAGGAGGAAGCCAAGGAGAAAGTCGAGGAGGAGGCGAAGGAGAAGATCCAGGAGGAGGAGGAAGAGGAGGAGGCGAAGGAGAAAGCCAAGGAGTAGGAGGAAGCGGAGGAATAAGAAGGTAAAGGCGAAGAAGAAGAAGAAGAAGAAGAAGAAGAAGAAGAAGAGGAAGTTGAGGTGGACGAGGAGGAGGAGGAGGAGGAAGCCAAGCAGAAAGACGAGGAGGCGATAAAGGAGAAGATCCAGGAGGAGGAGGAAGAGGAGGAGGCGAAGGAGAAAGCCAAGGAGTAGGAGGAAGCGGACGAATAAGAAGGTAAAGGCGATAAGGAGTCGGTGGGGGAGGTCCTCTCTCCCTCCTGCTTCCCATCCTACTCCCCTCGACCGTTATCCTCTCCCGCCAGACTCCTTAACGCCTTTGTCTTCTTCCTCCTCCTCGTCCTTTGCCGCCTCCTCTTCCTCGTCCTACTGGGCTTTCTCCGTTATCGCCTCCTCGTCTTTCTCCTTGGCTTCCTCCCCCTCCTCCTCGTCCTCCTCTTCATTGTCCACCTCCTCCTCGGTTTCTACTTCTCTTCTTTTTTCTTTTTATTTTCTTGTCTGACGTTCAAATTGTTGAATGGCTTTTTCTTTTTTTTTTCTATTTCGTTGCCGTTCTTTGTCAATGTATCAATCAATCAATCAATCAAGCAAGCAAGCAAGCAATCAAGCAATCAATCAAGCAATCAAGCAATCCTTCAACCAACCAATCAATGCGCCATCAACAAAGATAAGCAGACGATGTCGATCTTTGTTGATTGCGCGTTGGCTGGCTGGTTGATTGATTGATTGGTTGGTTGGTTGTCCCATGCAGGAGATGCGAGAGGTTCTTCTTTTTTTATCAATCAATCAATCAATCAATCAATCGTTCAACCGGTGAGTCAATTATCAATCGCTCGATATAAGGTCGACCGATTAATGATTGCCTCATCGGTTGAACGATTGGTTGATTGCTTGGTCGATTGATTGATTGCTTGGTCGATTGATTGATTGATTGATTGATTGATTGACTGATTGATTGATGATTGATTATTGATTGATTGATTAGAGGAGAGAAGGCGGGCGGCTGTTGGAAGGGAGAGGAGGGACGACATCATCGACGGCATCCTCTTTTTTTTTTTTTTTTGCCCTAATTCTTTGCTGTTTTTTCCCGCTTTCTGCTCCTTTTCGAGCTGGGCGACGTAAGGAACGGTCGGGGCCGGAGGCAGTGATTGGTCGCAGACACGCGGAAGGGGGGAGGCGCGGGGAAATGGGGAGGGAGGACGATGGGAGTGGATGTAAGGAGGGAGGGAGAGGACGAGGCGGGGAGGAGGTTGAAGACGAGGAGAGCCTTAGAAGAAGAAGAAGGAGGAAGAAGAAGGAGAAGAAGCAGAAGCAGAAGAAGAAGAAGAAGTGGAAGTAGAAGAAGGGCTGCGCGATGATATGGAGGGGTTGGGTAAAGTCGGGCGAGGGTGAGATAGGGTCGGGGGACGAGAAAGGGGGGGCGGTGGATAGAGAAAGGGACGGTCGGGCGAGGGCGGGGAGGGTCGGGGCCACCGCGTTTTATTTTTTTTCTCCATTCAATCAATCAATCAAGCAATCAGTGTCGGTCATTAGTTTGATTGATTGATTGAGGCGATTGATTGATTGATTGATTGTTTGATTGATTGATTGATTGATTGATTGATTGATTGATTGATTGATTGATTAAAAAAAACAAAACCAAAGGGGGTCAGGGCAGGGCGGAGGGAAGTCGGGGTGCGGTGGGCGGAGAAAAGGGAGAAGAAGAAGAAGAAGAAGAAGAAGAAGAAGAAGAAGAAGGGGGGATGGAGGAGTGTCGGGGAGGGTCGGAGGTTTGGGAGGGTTTGGGAGGCTCGGGGGAGGCTTGGGACGGATGGGGAACGGTGGGGAACGGGTATGGCGATAGTCGCGGACGATCGGGGGAGGTTCGGGCGAGGGTCGGGCGAGGGCGGGGAGGGCTTGGAGAGGGGAAGAGAGGGTCCGGGGTGGGTCCAGTGTGGACGGGTTCGTGGTCGGGCAGGGGGAAGGACGCGCGGAAGGGGACGGCGGAGAAAAGGGCGAGGAAGAAGGATGGCGGGGCGGCGGGGATGAAGAAGGAGAGGAAGGAGAGGAAGGAGAGGAAGAAGAAGAAGAGGGGAACGA